AGGTGAATTTTTATAGGCGGGAAGGAAGGGGATCTCGAGAGGTAGGTCGACCTCGACCGTCCGATGCAAAGGGGGGTAGACGGTCAGAATTGTGAGTTAAGAAGGCGAACGGTTGGTCGAATAAAGCAGTTGGATTAAATTCGAAATGGACTGCAATATTGATAGGGTAAGTTAAACAGAAGGTCGCTAAGGGCCATTGTACTAAAGGCGAATCGTGCGGATAGTATCGAAACAACATTTAATGGGTGTACTGCACGAAGGCTGCACAAATTACGAGACAATTACATAGGGAGGATGTTAGGCTGATTGAAAGGACGTCAGTCAGGTTGACTTGACAAAATGTAAAAAATCTGAAATTCAAATTTTGATTTCAAGACCTATGTCTTAGGTCAAGAAGATTATATTGATTCAATAAACGAAAACACGAGGGGGTAGGTCGATCAGATAAGCAGCAAGCTCAGTAAGCAAGACCAAAGACAAACGAAGTTACTCTTATATCGAGTTATCTTAACCCGAACAGAGTGGGGGAACCAAATGCTATTGGATACCACACCAGGTCGATTAGACCCGACTAGCGACCTAACCTAATCAGGTGGACTGACAGGTCGATTAGAGATTGGAAACAAGGGAGGTAGTCGAAGCACCAGATTGATGGTGATTACACACGTAAGGAGGCTTGCCAACAGGTTGAGTTAAGGCCCTCGGATGGCTTGGTAGAAACTCGACCTGGAGGTATGCAGATCGACGAATCGACCTGAGAAACAGTGCAAGAACACCACAAGAAGGCAATCCAATTTTAAATGAAACTAAGCTGGTCGTATGATTAGACTGTCTAATGAGACAGACTAAAGGATAATAAAGAATATTATTAGCCATAGGTGGATAGAACCACATGGCCTAACAGAGAATCAGGCAGTTTGAGCACCTGGGCAGTACAAATGGGTAGCTCGGGAAACACGTCAGCCCATCTGGGCAGTGTTGTGCAACAAGATAACACCCATATATCGTGAGGTATGAGTATGACAATCCAAACCCTACACATTATATACTACAAGCTTATCACTATTGTTGTTCATCGTTTTCATCACTGTGGACTAGCTTGAACGTCGTAGTGCTAACGCCGGGAACACGTCTCAACCCATTTTGTAGGTCTAGGTCTTTGAAACGGTCAAGAAGCAGATCCAAGTCGTTCGAGCCCAGTCGAAGCCCTTTTACACACCAAAAATACAAATAATATTAGTAAAGGAAATATATAAATAAATAAAAGTAATAATATTATTAACGAAAAATCATAATAAATAAAAGCAATATGTATAAAGTGGTATAAACAATTTTTTTGGATCAAATATTCCCTTGTTTGCCGTTTGGCTGGAGACACATAATTGGATGTAGCACACTTTTTTATATTTTTTTTTTTCCTAGTGAAAACTATTGTTGGAGACTTTGATGTGGCACGCTTTTTTATATATTTCTTCGTAGTGAAAATTGTATTTGGACATGGCACATTAACAATTTAGATTATAATGGTCACAACCAAATCCTTGGATATGTCTCTTTATAATTGTTACGAATTGAAAATCATCAATCCAGCCAACCAAATAATTCAAGTACACACACTAGATATTTCAAGTACACATTAGATACGTTTCAGCTTATGGCTCAAAATGGAATATGCATATATCAATAGCTGAGGTACCGGGCAATGTATTGAAATAACTGGTAAATGTTCCAACACAGTAATGTAAAAACTCACTAAGATACTAAATTCCTTCAATGATATGTGTTTCAAACTACTATGACACCCTCATTGAAGCCATATCCTGTTATACAACTTGAAACTACTCCAGAAATGCTGTAACCTGTATGAGAATAAGCCACTGTTAGTCCTACTGATGATATTTTGTCTACAATCTGATTATTCAAAGAACAAGCAGCTTACTCCAATCAGTTATCAGATTTTAGATTCCAGTGCGAGAAGTATCTTCTTCCTCGGTCCCTAAAAACAGAATAAACAAAAATTGTGAAGATTGCATCAACGGATGGATTGAAATTCTGGAATTTCGAAACAATGAAAGCCTCTCCATGAGATAATCTCACAATGTGTTCTAAAAGTAATTTTAATTAGCAAACCAGGGATCAGAATCAGATTATTCAAGCAACATTGGAAGTATTTGTGTAAATGAGCAGAAATGAATAAGAACTGGTGGGTACTATGTCTATAATGTTGGCGAAAGTTTGAAAACATGAATCATTATTTACAAGGGGAAAATTGTTAGTGTGTATATTGCAAAAGCTTGACTTTGTGTTACGAACTCAATTCCATTTTGAATTAGATGCATGTTTAGTCAAATGTGGTTTTGTGTATTGCTTGTTACGCAAACAAGTTTCATTTATTTTTAAAATTGTATTCCACGGTGTTAAGCAGAAGATCATATTATCGGTGTCGGTGCCTTGTAAAGTATAAAAATAGTTCACAACCTAGACAGAATTGAACTAAATGTCTTGAACGGTTGTAGTGTAATTTTGAAATTAATTGATCTTGATTCTTGACTAATAAATTACGCTAATACATTACATTTGTAATGTATTGCGTGGACCGCGGAGGATAAGCTCATTTTGTACTGAAGTAAATGACGTAGGTCTTAGTTATTACTCGTATTCTTAACCCGCAAAATAAAAATGGGCATATGTAATAAGTGGTGGCTTATTTAATTCGTCAATGAGTGAGATTCATTGAGTCAATTAACCTCAGTGTTTTGGTAAGCAATATCGAGCACATGATGTGTTGATTATTAGTCCCCAGTACGCTGGGTTGATGACGTTCCCGAAATAAGCTCAAAACATTTATTATGTCAAACCCTATAGACGGATTGAGTTCCGGCATGATAAATAGGTAGAGTGGTACTAATTTCGTATCAAGAAGTTAATTAATTATATTGTCAGTCATGAGATTAATTAACGAACATTATATTTTAAACATGGGGATATAAATAGAGTGAATAAATCTAGAGACGAATTACATGTAATTCAGGGTTAAATAGGAGATTCAATAATATGCCCTTAATGGAATGAAATATTATTTATATGGATTGGGTGTAGGTGGTCCAGAACATAAGTTACTTAATCCCATGGGGAGTCCTTATTTACCACCTCCTCTATAGGTCCATGTTGTAGCCTCTATATATACATCAAGTCCCAAGAGAAGTCCACACACGCTATATACTCCTCAGTAGCTCAACAAACACACGAGAGAATATTATCAAGAGGCTCTAGAAAGAGACAAAAAGATAGTGTTTTCGAAACGCAAGATCTCATTTGTTCTTTCCCAAGATCCACTCCGCCGTGAGACTTTGAGGGAGCTCCGAGCAAGGCGTCGCCTACTAAGACAAGTCGGAGAGGTGTCAGGACATACAACATAAAAGGTCATCCGTTTGTCCCATCCAAGTCTGTTGTCTCAGAGTCGGCAAAATTTAAACCTTAAGATTCAATCTTAACTTTAAATCTGCTACGCTTAGGATTAATTTCTTAGATTTCAGATTAACACATCGATCGACGTTCTTTATAGAACCCAACAAAAACAACTATTAACCATTTGCCAGGTCCAATGAGTCAATGGTACTAGCATGTGGCTATCGCTACACGTTAAAGGCACTCAGTTCTATTTTGCTTAGTTCCTTACTGAATATTTCTTAGTGAAAATTGTCAGTGACAATGAACCAATCACCTCACAATATATCCCATGTATAAGAGTCAGTAAAAATCATATCCAATTCCAACACCTTCTAGTTGAGCTTGACTAGGCAAGTGGAAGTTCACAGCGTTCTAAATATAGAATAAAAATGGTAATATCTAAATGGGTATCTCTCTAACTAATACCTGAAATTTCATTGGTCTGGTGTTAGCCAGCGTCTTCGACTTTGCTCACAAACAACTCTAATTGTAGTACTTTCCCATTATAACAAGACCTCTAACAACTTGAAAAGAATGGTGATTATTCGGTTTGTAGTGGATATCATCTTCTCCAAGACTCACTCTACAAAAACCCAACCCCAGGACAAGGTGGCTTCTGATATGGCGACTACATCTTCCCTTTTTTGGCGTCTTACCCACGGGGTGGTGGGGAGAGATCTCAAAATGTAGAGGACAAGATCTGAGGCTGAGATTGCTCAGATGGCAGCAAGCAGTCGGACTTCCGGATTCTTGTCATGTTTTTGTGCCTCGAGTGGCAGGATCAGAATTAAATTTTGAATGGTAATCGCTTGGATGATATTAACTGTCCATAAAGGCTCGACGTGGGTGGAGGAGTTCGATAAGGTTCAAGCTCGCATTATGTTTTCAAAAGAGTTAAAGAAAGAGTGACACCCAGGAATAAAAGCTAAAATTACCTTTTACCATGAATGAAACTTAAAGGTATGATGCACTGTTTATTACCAATTTTTCCATTTTCCACCTTGTTTCTCCAAAAGACCGAAACAGACCAAACAAAATCACATTCTTCAATACACTTTTTGGCAATAACATCACACTGTCTGATGTCTGATATCTCTGCAACTTCCTTTCCTCAAATACTTACCCAAGGAATCTCCAAAAGCTAAACATGATATCACTAAGTATTTGAGAAACAAAGTGAAGGACCAAGCCCTTGTAGTTGACTTGATAAGCACAAGATGATACCTCATTTGAATTGAGTCTTCTTGAGGTTTGGCTAATTTTCAAATGATGGATGTTTAAAATAATAAGCACAACATTGTTGATTGGGTAACTTTAACATATAATAAGGGCGTCAAAGTCTTGGGCACGATCATTCTAAACCAGGGCTATGGTAAGCTTGAAAATATGAAAAGCTGGATTTGAGCAGCTAAATTACAAGTCTTGGACATAGAATATATCACCACCACCTTTGGTAGTTCTAGATTACACCAACTTCAGCAAAACAACATTTTATCATTAATTTGATACCAGACAGGAGAGAGAGACTAAAAAGCACCACAATGCTGGGAAGAGTAGTAGCTCTCTGAAGTTTCATGTCCCACTAAATTCCAATTTATTAACCATATTTCTGCATTCATATTTCTTAAAACAGCAAGAAATAGACAAATACATGAAGATCTAAAATCTTGCGACACAATATGATGCTAAAGTCTAAAACATAAAGCAATTGTAATAAAAGGCAGATTCATAACATGTAAAAAGGCCAGCAAGGAAACACTCACCATTGGTATTCCCATGGCCTTGAGATCTTCCTCACCCATGTGTACTAGGGCTGTCATATCGACCTGTCATTTCCCACAATTTTATTATCTGCAACATTGTTGCGAGTAAAAGACAGCAACTTCAAAGAAATAATATTAAACCTACTTCTTCAGCCTGAAATGTTACTGAATATTTCTCGAGACCCAGGGACTGCAAGAAACTATCCACCCTCTCAACCTGAATAAACATAATGCAAAATAATCACTGTGAAAGATCATAGCATTATTTCGAAAAGTTCTAAACAGAACAGGGCCAATCCCTAACTACTAAAGTGTAAACAGTATCTATCAGAAAAAGGTGCTATTTGTAGTTTACTTTCTGTTGAGTCTTTTTCTTTGATACCATGCCAGAGATCTTCTTTGTTTCTCGAGCCTGGATCTCACTAATGGCAGTAATAGTATTCCTATGAGGTTTACTGACGTCAGGTGCAGGCTTTGGTATCAAAGACGGAGGCTGAGAATCAATATGACGAGAATAGAGGGTCCCAGAGAGCTTCTCACGTAAATCCCTTGCACCACTGAAAGCAGATGCCCTAGTATTTTGTGTAGCTTGCTCCATGCTTTTCCTTTGAAGCTTCATACGAAGATCATTTACACCAACTCTGGGATCTAATGCAGGGAATGAATACAAAGTGAAACCCACATTAGTTGAATGAATACACTAATACAGAGTAAAGCCAGAATGATACAACTTCACTCAAAATACTTAGTACTTGAAAGTTGAGGCCCGTTGCCCTCGAAAAGATCATGCTCCCATTTGTCATCATCTTCTCTCTGTCTGCAAGAAGCAATTGAAAATTGATAACATGAAGTTGGCCATTTTCTCTCAGAGAAAAAGAATGACGTTGTGACCTCCCATAATTCTTCCCACTGGAAGTGCCCCATTTCATGTGTAGGTGTAACCAAAAGAATGTTGTTAGGAGCTTAACAGTGCGATGGGTTAACCCATTATGTTTTTGTTTTATACAAAAATGTATACTTATGTTGTGAAATATCATACTTTTATCTCTGTTGATGTTTTAAAGTATGACATGTCATAATGGATGTATGCATTTTTATTGAATAAGCATGTTACTCTAATGGTTATTCTATCCTGACAACAATGAGCCATATTATTTATTGAACTTTACAAAGTTTATACGCCCTCAGCCGTATCAAAACGAAATGGAATATCACATAGCTTCACATTACCTAGGAAATACGGAAGCACACACATCCAGAACAAATAATACAACTTGATCAATTGCCTAAATCAAATAACCAAAAAGACGTCACCGTCGAAGCAACTATTAGTCTATTCGCCTTGCAAGCAAAATTAAAACCTAAACCCAAACACATTAAAGAAACGAATGTTAGAAAAAACTGAAGGTTGACCTCTTGCCGGAGGTGGGCCTCCGTCGACTGGAACCGGCGGTCGAATTGCCGCTCATACGCTCCTTGATTGACCTATTAGCCTGAGCCTCCACTAGATCAGCATACATCGTATGGCTGCTAAGCAAAATTGATGACCCAAAAAAGTCGGAATCCGAATGCGGAAGGAAGTTTGTGATTATGAATATGCTGCCGGGCAATTGGTGAACTGAAGAGATTGTAGGCGCAGAGAAAAACTGAAGCTTGTGATTCAGAACTGAAGCTGTTCGCCGCACCTTCGTTGAGGGATTAGACAGGATTTGTCGTTCAATCTTAGCCCTTTTTCTTCGTTTGTTATACACAATTAAGGCCCGCCCGATTCCCCAAGGCGCGTGACCGTTTCTACTAAAATCTTGAGGGCATGATTGAACATAAAATGGATTTTTTTGTTACCTATATTAATTTGAGAAAATGTGATATGGCGAATTAGTAAATTTTAAATTTATATTAAAATAATATTAAAAAAATAGTAATTAAAATTGAATTGATTTAAAATTATAAGAGAGAAATGTGGAGTGATTATTACTTTATTTAAAGAACTCACTCAGGGCATGTTTGAAAAGGGAGATGAGATTATATTATATTAATCTTGCAAAGGAGGATTACACTGTTAAGATTTGTGAAATCTTGGGTTTGGTCTCCATGATTGCGTGGAATTAAAACAATTGACACAGTTCAATGTAGTGTTTGTTGTAAGTGACAATTTGTATGATAAAATACCATTTTACTGATTTACCCTTATTTCTGACAAAACATTCCACCACATCTGTACATGAAAATTGTCAAGTAATATCCCCAAATTTTAACCTAACATCTCGCGCTGGTGTGTGGCGACCAACGATTTGCGTCGACCGTCAAGCAAAATGAGAATCGGCAGGAGGTGCTGCGCCATCTGGTTCGCATGTCAGTTATTCTTCTATTCTCCGGTCAGTCGTCGTAAATGGGTGTATGAAAGTGGTTTACAATTTCTTTCTTGTTTTCTCTGATATCTGGGGTAACTGCTAGATAGGTTTAATTTGTAATGGTGTTTTTGGGGTCATGTCGGTAGGCAATGGTGGTGCACATGCCACCAGATTTGAAAAACAAAAAAGCAAATTTTGCTATGTTGTTGTGTCTAATCAATAGTCTGCTTATTCGGACCCATGTGCTTGTATTCAAAAATGTATCATTATATTCTCTGTTGTGAAGTTCTCTACTGCGGAGTTCCTGTCAATTTCCTGAAGATTCGATTATAGCAGTATCATCCTGTTTGGGAGGGAGATTAGACAACCAAAAAATGGCTGAGATGGTGTATTGTATTCTCTTTTCAGCTTTATGAGTCATTTACAACTCATACATTGTGTTCTGTGCTTATGCATCTATGAACTTTCCTCCTTTTGTATGGTCCTTTGATCCTCTATATATAGACATAGTCATTTGACAATGAAATTCAGACCAAGGTTGCGAGCAGAAAATTGTATTTAGTTAAGGAAAAAAAATTGTGATTTGTGACCTTCAAAAGCAGTTTAATGCCTCGTTTGGGAAGGGAAGCCACACAAGACGAGCTTCTTTATGATGCTCGTTGGACGAAAGACGTGGACAACCTCTTCATAGACCTTCTTGCCGAGGCCCATGTTGGTGGAGAATGGAGACAGGGCAGACCAAGCCCTCATGTATTCCACTACTGCCATGGTGTATTAGATGCAGATCTTGGTGCAACCTTTACTCTCAAAGAACTTCAGGAACGTTTCGATTTCCTTCACAAGCGGTTCCGTGTTTTTAGTTGGATGCTACGAAAACACGGGTTGCGTCATTGTGTGCAGTCCAACATCCTTACGGCACCGGTAGCAGTATGGAATGACATCTTCGAGGTATACCCTTGATATTTTTCTTTCTTTGCGAGCTTGTCCTACGTTTTTGTGGTTTTCATTATTAATTGAAAATGAAACACAAATGGGTATTTATTTGTCTTGCTATGTGTTGAAGCCAAAGTTCGAGGGGCCTCTGTTGTTCTTTGGGTTTTACTGACTGAGGTTGTTTAGGTTAATGGGTATGGTAAGTACGTATTAAAAAAAAAAACTTGATTATGTTTATAAGATGTGTATTATAAAACTTTGAAACGGTAAGTACAATGCAAGTGTTTTTAAACACATTATTGAGCCTTGTCAACATGAGGTACTTTGTGTTGTAAGGAAGTTTGTTGAAAGTTATCAATTCTGAGGAGTAATCACTTTTTATTGTCTGATTTCCATTACTTTTCTGTATGTAGTCTGACCCATTCTCGGTGGCATACCAACATTCCGGGGACCCGCGTTAGGCAGACATATGATATTTGTTCACAGAGGTGTACGAAGCCACATCAAATGCACCATTGGTCTTGGACCAAAATTCCACCAACGAGAATGATGTGGCTTGGTTGACCGAACAGTCCTACGTCTTCTCGCTTTCTTCTATCACTAATGCACCATTAAATGGCTCAATCGGAAACAACCTTTTACTTCTACCAAATGCCCGAGAACGTGAACCTTCCTCCGAAGGTTCAGTGAACACACACACACATGTGAACATTCCAAGGCGGGGGGGTGGAACACCGTTGCGTATTCCCCGACCACCGCGTAGGCCGGCGCCATCATCATGCAAAGGGTCTTCTAGTGATCCACAGAACTGAACTGTTGTCATTTTCCTTCAGTGTCCTGCTTTTAAGATTCCGTACTTTGTGGGCATTGACCCTTTTATTATTGGTAGTTTCTAATGTGTTGATGCTTGTATTGATGAAAGCCCGTTTCTTATTTGATCCTCGGTTTACCTTCATTTGATTCATGTATGTGTTCAAGAAAGTTTTGCTCGTCGTACATCATGTGTACCAAAGTTTTTCCATTGGAGATTGTAGTGTGTGGTATGGTTCATACAAAACTAGGTACTTATTTGTTTCAATGTACGATTCGCGTAAAAGGAATTCTGTTTGTTTTCAACTTCGGTTACCACTATGACATACATAGGCTGGATGTATTTTTTTTGTAAATGTATAAAGTAAACTCAGATTCAAATTTCATGTACAAATCTGACTTAGAACATAATGCTTGAAATTGTGTTTAGTAGAAGGACAACTTGCTGGTTTAATTAAAAAAGGCACACAACATGTATTAGTAGCTTCAATACTGACATAAAATTTTAATACACCACATGAATCTCCCATTACATGCCATGCACTTCATCTTACTTTGCACCAAACACACCAAAACTTTGGGAGATTGACTTATCAAAAGTACTTAAGGTTAAAGCCAGCCTAATTTAAAAATAAGCACACTAATGACCTAAAAAAAAAAACACACTTACGAAAGATAGAAATGAACAACATATACTCGGGACCCAATTACCAAAAAGAGTTGTAAGACCGTCCCTAAAACTTGCTGTAAGCTACACGGAGTCTACGCAGGAGTCGACATCCGACTCGTGATCCATTATATCCTCATCGGCCTGCACATCATTCAGCGGATCCACCCACAGTGGGTTTTCATGAATTTGGCCTGCAACATCCTGCTGAACTTCAACTTCATCCTCCATGCCATCTTCTGACCACACATCTGACATAGTATCATCTAGACAAATTGGATAGTCGTTATTCGCACCAGGGTTAGATTCGAGATCAACATCAGCGGCCCCTCGTACGTTCCACAGTTGCAGACAATGGTTGTACCATTTGAAGCCATTCGAACGAAAAAAAACCTGCAAATCGGTCTCTTGCATTTATGGAATAAATTTATATTTTGCTGTCAACTTTATACCAGGGTGATTAAAAAAAGATGTTAACCAACGAATATACAAATACCTCTCCAACGACATTCCAATAATCTCTGTTCACGCTAACCAAACCGCCGTCATCATGCACGCGAACTCCCGGTGTGGTCATGTAGCGAAGGAAAAGGCGGTAATGCCCCTGAAGACAATGGATTTTCTCCCGCACCTTCTCCCACGTAAAGTCCTTTTGCATGAGTTCCGATAGCTGACGGGAAATTCCGAACCATAGGGAATTTAGGACTGGTGCCCTGTCTACGTCCTCTGTTTCAGAACACTTTTGGAAGAAGAGACGATAGCAAACCTTCTCTTCCCCCTCGGTCCACCCCTCCAACCTGAACCCGTGCGCAATGTTTTCCAAACTCGTCATCCGATCCATCACAGCGATGCAAGAACCTGTTCTGTGAAAACAAATAAAAAAAAAAATAAAACAAGTATTAATACACAAAGGTTTTATTTAATCATTTAAAAGAAAAATTGGTTTAAGGACCTACAGAGCAAAGTGCTTTTATGACGGTGGGAATGATGTTGAAGTGCCATGCAGAAAGGTTGTATTAATAGCTGATGGTGAGGGTCATCACAGCACCAATTTACACCATATTAATTTTGGTTGGTAACCGTCTATTCATAGCAGTCAATAAATGAAAATCATGATTAACCTTTGGTTAGCTTCTTTGTGGACGTTTTTGGCTCATCTAAATCCGGCACTAAATGTGAGTAGTTAAGCTGATAGCCATGTTATCATGTGTGTTATGGAGTCAACTTTTTGTATAGACAACAATTAAACCATACAATTTTAATTAAGAAACAAACTCCCGCAGTTGGGGTAGTACTCGTACAAATAATATTAGTTACAGACAGGGGCGAAACCACATACAATTTTAAGCATCGTTTTCATGTCCCGACTTCGAGAACCCGTCGGCCCTCGTTAGGCGCAGCGAAATTTAATGGGAGTGCTTTCTAGAAAGTACGAGAAGAGTAGAAGCCGTTCGTGGTGTTTATTTTGCAATTCAAGGTCCCGAGCATTTATTTTGAGAACCTCGAGTTGGAGTGCACAAATTAGAAAAATAAATAAAAAGCCGTTTACGTCCGCCCCGCAAGGTCGCGTGAGATTTCGGTTTGCTGAAAAACGAGTTGAGACGTGCAGACCTTATTGGCACGATGCCATTCGAGCCATTTATTGAGTGTTTCGGAGCTCCGAGGATTTGTTTAGAGGAACCTGAAGTTGATGTATAAATATTAAAAATAAGCGAATTGTCGAGGACAAGTTCGATCGTTCGAGGCTTCATTTTTCTCGATTCTTTCAGTTTCTCGTCTATTCGAGAGGAGATATAAGTCTGGACTATCCTTTTTAATTAATTTCGAGCATAGTTTGAAGGTAAAAATCGGTCATCCCTTTATTCGAATTCTAGTTTCGCCACTGGTTACAGATATCTAATAAATTTTATTTGTTAATAAAAAATTAAATGGTATAAATTTTACATGTATTTATCAAATTATTAAGTGCTTTTTTTTCTAATAAATTAATTTCAATTTTAAGTAGTTTAAAGAATAAGATAAATTTTTTAAACAAAAGCACGTGCACAATAACGAATGTTGTACTAGTGTAAATTAAACCCAAACAAAAAATAATTATAAGAGTCCATACGCACCATATTAATTGATTTTTTTAAAAAGTTGGATATATGTAATTTCATAATTACCATTAAAGTAAAATTTAACGTTTTGGCACATGTACATATGCATTTGCACATAAACGATGGAATTCAAAAATAATGGACCTCTCCAACTAGGCTTGTAAACAAATCAAACTTTTTTGATTCGATTCGATATTCGTGATTCGAATTCGAATATTCGAATTTGAATTCGAATACGAATAATGTTTTATATTTGAGAGTTAAACGAATCCGAATTCGAATTTGTAGGTATTCGATTCGAAATTTGAATATTCGATTCGTTAACAATAATTATATAAATTTTATAAATTATATATAGTATACATTTTGTTTATAATATATATATATATATATATATATATATATATTTTGTTATATTCATACTATTTTTATGACATAAAAAGTAAAAACATCATAAATTAACAATTTTTTCTAAAAAATATAAAAAATAAAAATTATTTTTTATGTAATTATAATATTTTTTAATTATAATGTTTTTAAAAACGAATATTCTAAACGAATCGAATATGTTCGAATATTCTAAACGAATCGAATACGAATTAGAAAATAAGTTCGTTAACGAATCGAATACGAATTCGAATCTTCGATTATTTTAACGAATCCGAATCGAATCTCTGAGTATTCGCTTTGATTCGATTTCGTCCACTGGTCGTGGCATATGCAAAATCTCGCGTAATAAAAAGTTTACGGCATTAGTCAACACCACTCGTGATGGTGGGGCCCGTTCTTACTATGGACGAATCACAAAATCACAATGACTGATGAGCCATTTTCTATTTCATTTTATTTAAATGCTTCGCCCAGCCCTTGACAAAGTGTACTTAAGTTTGTAATTTTTTAATTACCTAAATTATTTTACACAGGTGAAGACCGTATCTGTGCTACTGTGTAGAGAAGGGCTCGATCCCACAAACCCACGAAGGATTGTGGAAGAGAACGACGACGGATTGTGGAATACAGTACATCGCTTGAATTCAGAGGTACGGATTCTCGGACGTTTGCGCTCTTTTGTTTGATATGTACAGGTAAAAGGGTTAATGGTTATTTTCAAGGATAAAGGTTTTCTTGTTTTCAAATCCGGATATGACGGTTAAAATTGGGAAATTGTGTACCGATTTTCCGCATTACAGTTTCTGATTTACGCGAAATTGATATTCTACATCTAAAAACCGAATCAGAAAAACACGGGACGAAGGTAAAGGGTTTGTATCATATATTTGGGAATTAGGGTCTCTGATTTTGGGATTTAGGATACGTCAAAGGTTCTAATGAAAACCACTTTACCAGTTATTCTTGTTTATTGTCTCACATTTACTTGTGCCGTTTTGATTTAAATTATCCTGCACCCTATTCTTTAGTGGGAGCCATTAAGTCGCCCTTGTCTGTATATGTTGTGAACATTGAAGCATCATTGTAGGGTTTGATTCATGGATAATGTAATTTTCTTAACTATGACATTCCAAATGTTTTGGTAAACAACATTGTCTGAATTGGTGTGGTTTAATCTTGTGTTCTATTTTAATTAAATTTGTAAGAACTCCTGTGATAGTCGTTTCCTTCATTATTTATAATCACTTGATTAATGTATTTTTACGTACATTTTTAAATCTTAGATGCAGTATGTATATTAAGTGTGGCTTTCCGCTTGGACTGTTGCTTGAATATTACAATGAATTTATTAACGGTTTATCTTTACTTCAAGACTTCAAAGATGTCACAGGCTTCAAGCAGTGCTAAATATGGAGGACCAAGCAAACTGAAGTATGTAGAAAAAAAATGTGCGGAATGCGGAGAAAGACTTGCAATTAGGATTGTCGGGTCCCGAACTCCGAATTATCAAAAACTCTATTACGGTTGTGACAGAGATGGGTTTATGGGTTGGGCTAATCCAATAAATGAAGACGAAGTCTGCACAAGACAAGAAGTTAACATGAGCGACCATGTCGTAGTGCATCGTGAAAGCTACAAAGATATGAAAATAAAAAATAAGTTGGAAGTCATTTTCAATTTATTGATTGTGATATTGGTACTTGTACTTGTAGTTCTTCTTATGATTGTAACGAAATAAAAACAATGTGTATGTACAAGTTGGACACGAGAGTTTGTTTGGTCATGAAAAAATGCATGGTTGTTTTTATTGTTCGAATTTGTCTATGAAGGTTATTTTAACATATAAATAACATATGGCCAAGGTTATTGTGATTGTGAGGCTGCTGAACTAATGAAGAGGTGTATTTTTTGGTGCATATAGGAAAGGGAGAACTTTTAAAGACGCAACAATGTTGCCTCTTTAAAAAACAGTTGGTGACCGTGAATTTTTGTAAACGGACGACATCCTTACGTGTGGCGTCTGTGAAAGCATTCTTAAGTAGGTACCCAGTGGGAACCCGAAACTTTTCATTGTTTGAAGGGAAAACTCATCTCGAACAATTCACATATGTCACGTATTCCGTTGCACAATAATTCTGATAATATGCCAAGTTCTACAAACATGAGCAATACAACTACATTCACGTACTCCGAAGTGCTGTAATAATACAAATGAAATTAACCCAAACACAGCCTGGTCATATGGTAGTAGTAAACGTAATAAGTACTTCCATACATCATGATGGATTCCAAGTTAGTGCCACCTTAATCGATTACAGGCCAAAAGGAAACAATGAAAATGCAGGTGGCAATGTTCTCCACTTCCAGGGTACAGATTACATAAAATGTATGACTACACATCCGCACACATAACATAAATAATACATTACAAAAGTCCACAGTTCAAAACGACCAAGGCAGGTACCCGAACACATACAAAAGAAACAAAACATGTGGAATTTCTGCGGACTACATAGGCCCGCTCAATATTTGGTGCACCATCGAGGTCTTTGCATCATCGTCCAGACTGAAAAAAAGATCCATCTCGTCAGGATTTTTGCTTAAGTACCGCGCGACGCCTACCCTTTCATCCGTTGTTAAGTGCGGAATTTTTTTTAGTGCGTCATAAACCGCGATTCGCTGCTGTTTTGCATTTGCTTGGTAACCAACACGGGTAGACAATTCCGAAAGACGGTTGTTTGTCTCTTGGCAAACAGATGAAAGAAACCCTATTATTTTATCCTCCGGCTCAACATTACGCTTTCTTTTTCCATCACGCTTAGACTTACCGGATGCACTACTCTCACCTGCTTGAGCTGAAAAAGAGTCGAAGTTAGTCTGAGGGTAGTCACATTGTTCCGGAAATTGGTCTTCAGTGGGGACAGGGCTCGGTTCTTCGACGTTAGTATCATGTAAGACATCATTGACCGCGTCAGTGAAACCTTGTGCCCCCTCTCCCGTTGCACGGTCCTTACCGAAAATTTCTACCCAATCGGCATACAAGGGCCAAGATTTATAACGCATAGATTTGGCCTTTGGGTGAGCCTAAAAGAATGATAAGAAAGAAAACAATGATATTGTTACTTTTCAACTGGCTCTCATTTCATACGCAATGACATGTGTAACTGGAATTAATACCTTGATGTAGCTGTCCCACACCGTGTCATCCCTCACTGTAACCATTTTCCCCATCTCATTCCATCCGAACCCCGTACTACCAAGCATATCCGAAACTATACCATAGTTTTTTTTCCACACCGTAATCTTTGATGATATGTGTGGTTCTGCTTTTATGGTCGTACCCGGGAATTGCTGCCGCATATGTTGTTCCAATATGGTGGTGTAACCGTTGCGAAACCCGTTGTCGCATTTCCAACCACGCGTCACAAGATCTCGTAAACCATTAATCAATGCTTTTTCCTCATCTGCATTCCAAACTCGACGTTGCCCGCTGGGCTGGGAATTGCGTCCCCCACTACCAGTGGATTCCATGCCTAACTAATGATCACAGAAATAAATCAACAATGGTAAGGTTAAAGGGTAAAACAAGAAAGAAACATTATATTATATCGAAGAAATGTGAAACAGTTATGTGAGGTATAAGAGTGTATTTTTCCACAGCACAAAAAAAGGCAAACAACCGGAAGTAGTAGTAATCACACATTTCAAACAATCGTTCAAATAAATAGTTTTCCAACAAACATCTACCAGACAAGTAGAGATAGTCTATATATGTTTTCTGGTACAGAGAAAAAAAAAAAAAAAGTCTCCTTATGGCCATCATTGTAAGCTGCAGTGTTCAACTACGCCCGTCCCATTCATTAAACATTGACACAGCCAAAGCTTCCCGCATATTGGTCCATTCACTGCTTGGCTCAACAACCTCAACATAGTCAGAGGGATTATTTTCCTCGTGGGTTCTCTGATGATTCATCATATTGTCAATCTCATTTTCCAGTGGGTCCACATGCATGGTCATACGGATAAAGTTTTGAAGAAGGCAACATGCAAGTACAATTTTATTTTGAGTGTCTATGTCGAAATAAGTTTTGCTCCTTAGTACAGCCCAGCGCATCTTCAATACACCGAAAGCTCGCTCAATTACATTCCGCGCTCTGGCATGTCGTAAGTTAAACAGCTCTCTATGGTTTCTAGGCATTCTGTTACCTTCACCAAACTCATCTAAATGATACCGCACACCCCTATACGGAGCCAAGAATCCAGGACCATTCGAGTATCCTCCATCACAAAGGTAATAGTTCCCTGTGTGTGGCAAAAATATTAGACAATCCTCACAAAATATGAAAAAAAAAAAAAAAATTATCCTCACAATTAATGTTAAATACTATATTGGATAACCTTTTATGGAATTGTATAAATATGTATTTATGTAACACTTACCATTTGGTACACGAAGGCCCCCTGGTCGATGAACAGCATCTCGTAAAACCCTACTGTCTGCCGAAGAACCTTCCCAACCGGTCAGTACATAACAAAAATTCATTTCTTGCGTGCAAGCACCAAGCACATTAACAGAAACTTGTCCTTTTCTGTTGCGATATCGTGGATGTAGACATGCAGGAACACGAACAGGAATATAGGTTCCATCCAAGGCTCCTAAGCATCCCTGTGATTTAAAGCACAAGGTATACCGGTTTTAACAATTACTTATGTTAATATAATAGGGTGCTATTTGCAAGATTTGTTGGATTTTCCTCACCTTGAACCATCTCCATCGCCAATCGGTGCATGAATCGGTAACTGCAGTGCTTTGGGCAAGGAGGATGGGATACAAACGCAGGACGGAACGAAGTACATTACGGAAGAATTTGCTTATTGTTTGACCGGATCGTTTGAAATCAAATTTCACAACACGATTTTTTTTATGGTGAGCTAGCACACTAAGAAACATTGCTACTTGCTCAGTTATGTGTATATTTCTGCTGTTCTTAAGCCCACCAACATGTTCTAACAAGTAGCATAAGCGGACGAAGGTACTTCGATCCATGCGAAGTTGTTCTATGCATGTCGTATCACTTTGTTCTACTAGCACTTTCATGTGTTCAATTTGCGAGGGAAGACGGTCTAACATACAATAGGACGCATTTCCCAGCCGACCTCTACGTCTACGAATTTGTCTAGGTTGAACAACCAACTTAAGGTAAAGGTACGCAATGATAAAAAACAAATTACGCAGATTAATTATCTCCTCCACGAGCAAAAGTACAACCGCATTCTCCGAATCTATGTCCATCATTTAAGCTGATGATCTAAACAACAATATGTATTTAGCCATGTAATCGATGAAGGCAAACGCAAACATTTGTTATACAATGTCAGTGTAAGTGTAAATTCAAAAGGATCCAACTATATCTAAAAAAATAAGCAAATAAAATTCTTCTGCATAGCAATTTTTCAAAAAAAAAAAACATATGAAAGAATTATCTCCAAAAGGGGTATATTAAAAAAAATGAGAATTTTAGCATATTGGACCAAAGAATATATGAAAGAAAACAACATGCTGCAAGCTGCTTTAGTATATTCAAAAACTTTTAGAAAGTAGTGTACGTGAGTAAATACTAAATAATAATACGCAGGTTAAGGTACCAATTTGCTTCTGCAGAAAGAAAACCAGAAAAAAAGAAGAAGTAAGAAAAAAAAATAACACCTTCTTTCTATCTTACATTGGAGCAAAATCAGACAAACCAAAAGCTTGTATTCTCTCTCTCTCTATCTCTTTCTCTCATATTTCATCAGGGAATCTGATCTTTCACAGATATATGTACCTTTTATTCCTTATTTCTTCTAAAGCAAAATATTACCAAACCTTCTTTCAAATGATTTTATCTCTATTTTTTCACCTTCTACTGAAAATAGTGTAAATAAAACATTAACAGATGGTGAATCAGTAGCAGATAGTGAGGGCAGGATCAACTTTTCCTGTAGCATTCAGGATTCATAAATAAAGAGTAAAGAATATAGCAAACAATTCCTCGGCTCATAAGAAGATGGTGAATCAGTAGCAGAGAGTGTAATATGTGAACTCTGGAAAATTCGATTCTTCTTCCAATTACCTGTGTCGAACAACGATTACGATGAAAGGAATCACTTTCTCCTTGGCTCGCAAAGCACCGGACGAAACACGATCCTAATATACCTGCAGCCCCAAAAAATGAAAAATTAGGGTTTTACGAAACAACCTATTCACAAAAACAGGGGAAAAGATTAGGCCCGTACAAGTAAAAATAACCCGTCTTTCTGTGGTAAAATTGGTTGTGACACAGACGTACCGTGAAGTCACAGCTGGAAGCTAACAATTTTTCGCCGATTGGTCTTGTTGCCAGAGATCTTCTGCGAAAGTGTTGGGGTGAAAGAGACGATGGGTCTTATACCTGGCACGCTGTAATTACTCGGTATGATGAGGTTACTTTCGTCCGAAATGTCAAATTTCAAGGTCAAAAATGACTTTTGTTTGTATGTGTACTATTGAGATGAAAAATATCTCTTCACAGAAATCAGACTAATTAATAGCCCATATGCAAGATTATTAAAATTTAGTCTCGGGCCCTGTCTAATCTTGCGGGCCTCAAACTTGGAAAGCAAACGACGGACTAACCCTGGACTGGGCGCCTAATCTTATCTAGTCTTGCTTTTCAAACATGGCCTCAAGGGAAAGACTTGGGTAAATGAGTCTTCTTTAGTTTTATCTGTGTTATTTACTTTTTTTTTTTTTTTATAAAATACTATAAAAAAGACAACCTAAATATCTAAAATGCCCTTAGTAATGCTCTATTCTCTCTTCTTCACATCTCAATACTTGGGAAAGACGCGTCATTCATGTTTTTCTCTTAAAAAAAAATCTCTAATCAATACATATCAATCTTGAATTCATACTGTAAAACAAATGTGTTGATGGTGGAAGAACGACAAAATTATTATTTCTTTTATTCGATAGAAGTTGAAAAATAAGTCTGAAAAAAATAATTGTAGGTAGGGTTTCTTGTTATTTTATCTTAATATGCATTTTGGTTTCATATTTTTTTATGATTTTTGTACCATTCACATTTTTTTTTTTTATTAATTGATAGTTGCATTTAATTTTACACAATGAATGTACAGTCTTTTTGATATTCGAAGGTAGATTCGTTATCTAATGATTAATTCAAAATGTTTACATTTTTAATTTAAAAAATCACATATCCCCAATGTTTTTAGTCCGTAAGCATAATGGCATTGCATATTATCTCTTATTTTAGTAACATGTGTTTCCGCAATTTCTCTTGTTCAAGTAACATACATTTTTTTTCTTCTAGATATTGATTTAACAAGGATGGTGGAGTAAGGATGGCACTTAGACGTGGAGACATGTGAATCAAGATGAAGAGAATGTCAATCCTCTTTATATTACCGACAACATTTCTTTCTTGAAGCTTGAAGATGTGGTCCTGAAGCTCATAAAGTTCGATAGCATTTCACTCATAATAGAATTGCTATCACTGAACCCGAAAATGACCAGATTTCCAATTCTCCCTATGAAGATCAATTTTTGATGGCAAAGTGAAATGGTATATATCTGTTTGTGAAGAATATTCTCTTTGCGTAACACTTATGGACATGTTGAAGAAGAAATGAACAATCACATTTCAAACGTGATTGAAACATTTACAGAAAATAATGAAACTCACAAGCGGCTTGAAGCCCAATGGGGAAGTATGATGGAGAATAGAGATAGTCCGCTCGAAAAAAGTCTTGAAGTTGAAGAGTCGAGAACCACTTTGTTGATAGAAGATGCGCGTGAGAATTTTTCAACAAAATATGCTATGGGTGGGAATACATGCTATTCTACGTGTCCGCTTCATTGTCCATCTTCCGTGATAACTCCAAAGAGTAAAGATTTGCAACATAACAATCTCTTTTCAACCAAAAAAGACTTAGTAAAGAAAGTGTTGTTGTTGACTGTGAAGTACCACTTTGCATTTAGAGTTGTCAAATCAACGAAGACCTTGTATGTTGTTTCTTGTATTGAGAAAAATTGTCCTTGACATTTGAGAACGATTGAAGACAAAAAGAATGAAATTTTTTAAGTACGTAAGCATGTTGGTAATCACACTTGCTCTATAGTGTGCGTCGTAGAGCTCACAAGCATGCAACGTATAAGCTTATTGGAAAGCACATTTCTGAAAAGTATAAAGATGCCAGTTGGATTTATAAGTCGAATGATATTATTTTCGATGTCCAAGACAAGTTCTGGATAATTATCAGCTACACCAAAGCATTTATGGCAAAGCGTTACGGATGTAGTCTCATTCGAGGTTGCCCAAAAGAAAGTTACTTGAAGCTCCTACAATAGTGTTACTTTGTGGGAAAAAAAAAATCATGGGACCGTCACTTCACTTAAACAAGTGTGGATGGTAAGTATTTTTCATGGCTTTAGGGTCGTGCATTCGTGGATTCCACTCTTCTATCAGAAGAGTAATAAATGTGGATTGAACATTCTTGATGTGGAGATATCGTGATACTTTGCTCATTACAACATGTCAGGATGCAAATCATAAAAATTTCGACTTGGTTAGACAATAGTAGACTCCGAGAACATTCCTTCTTGGACTTTCTTCTTTGAAAGTTGAAAGATATAACAGGTGATTCTCCAGATCTTGTTATAGTTTCTGATAGGAGATCAAGTATTCCTAGTGCTTTTGATATAGTGTTTCAACATGAACATCATGGATATTGTAATAGTGAGAAACCTAAAATTTGAGTTTTCAATGTTGGAATTAGATGCATTGTTTTGGGCAACAACCGAAGCATACACAATACCTCGTTTCGAATCCGACATGGTAGCATTATGCGATAACAAGGAGGGTATCTGGGAATACCTAGAGAAATCTGATTTGCACAATTGGGATAGAGCATATTTTAGAGTAACCCGTTTCAATATAATGACATCAAACAATGTTGAATCGTTAAACTCAGTGCTAAAGATTGCTCTGAAATTTCCTATCCTTGCTATGACAGTGACCAAAATATCAAAAGCATGGAATTTGTATTCCAAGATTTTGAGGTAATGTATATTTTCACTATACATTTTAAATCTATAATTTTGTCTATTCATTAGTTTTTTCATGTTTCTATACACATTTTTTTTTCTTTTATGTGCACGATATGATGAAACAACTCCGTCAAGTTTGGTGAAGAAATTTGAAGATATGCATTTACAAGAAAGCCGAGTTAATCAACTCACTTGGTTCAAAAAAATTCCTAATACTAACAGCTTCAAAACCTCTACGAAT